GAGGAAAAGGCTGGTTTGGATCCTGTACCACCTGGAAATAACACTTTTTTTTTCTTTTTCAAATAAATCTTTAGACAGCGGTGCAAGAACTGCTTCAGAAATTATCAGACCAGATCAGTGAATGCAATGATGCTGCTTAGCTTGCCTGGATGCCTCTGGCTGCAAATGCACCGGGCTTTTGAAGGGTGCTTGTGGGGACCAGGGGCAGGGCTGGTTCCTGTTTGCTTGGCTTTGAAAGGTCAAGGGAGAAGGTTGTGCATCTAGGCACAAAACCAGCCTGCTGAGGCTCTTCAGCTCTTATCTGGGGAGTTAACTCAGGCTTGCTTGCTGTTCAGACCTCGAGGACCCCTGGGTTAATGAGGCACATCCATCTGGCAGAGCTTTGGCAGTAACATCCAGCTCTGACCCTCTGCTCCCTGGGCACACGCAGGCAAGCGGCCAGGCTGCCCGTGCCACGCTGCTCCCCGCTGGCAGTGACTCTGGCCAGGATTGCAGGGCACCCCTGAGCCTGCTCTTCCTTCAGCTCCAGAGACTCGAAGCAGGGCAGAAATCTCCATCTTCTTCCTGGCTTGTGCTGGAGGAAACTCATCTGCCAACGTGGGCAGAGCATCGCTGTCACCCTGCGCACAGGCAGGTCCCTGGGTTGCAACAGAGCCTCTCCTACAGTCAGGAGCTCCCAGGTAGCAAACAGCCCGAGCCTGGCACAGGGCCCTGGAAGGGAGGAATGGCAAAAATAGCTTTAGCTCCCGTCAGCCGGAGGCCCTGGGAGCAGGCTGGGGCTTGCAGCACAGCTATTTTAGCACCGAGCTGAGAACAGAACCCTTTGCCAGGAAAATGGGGTGGGAAAGAAAAGGGGCAGTCGGGAGCGGGAGGAAGGGGTGCCCGTCTGCGCGGCGTCAGGCCGGGCTGCGCTGGGGGCTGTCATCGGGCAGCTCCTGACGTGGCGCCTAGCCGGATGCTAAACAAACAGCCCAATATTTCATGGTGTGGAGACAGCAGGTACCATGCTAAATGGGACGTGCTGATCTCCCAGCTGCTGCCTTAGCGCATTTACACGCTGTTTTCTTTTTTCTTTATTTTTGGTAATGACTAATGAGGACTGCCTGGGGGTCTTATCCCCCTTCGCCAACTAATGTCAGCCAGTCAGGTCCCTCCGAGAAGCACACGCCAGCTGTCGGCTCATTTAGGAGGGGAGGAAAGCAAACATTGGACACGTTTCCCCCACCCTGCCCCTTGGGTTTTCAGTTGGGACTGGCAGATGTAAGGCAGGGGAGCAGGCTGGTGGGGAGAGCTGCTGCAGGTTATTTGCACATCAAAAGCAGCTTTGCCTCCGACCCTCTATCACCCTTCGAGCAAGAGGTGGCTCGATTTAATTGCTCTTTCAAATCCAGCAAACCACCCCAGCCAGAAACTGGTGCGCTAGCACCAGGGTGTTAAAAGAAGATGCAAATCAGCTTTTCTCTGTCTTGAAGCTTATTTGCATCTGCTGATTAGTTCAACAACTAATTCAAACTCCTTCTGTTTGAGGACGGTTGGCGCTCGGGCAGCTGGAGCAGAGCTAACCCAAAGCCAAGGGAAAGCAGGGAACCCCTGTGTTCTGTTCCACAGAACCCCCTGTGCCTGGGGGGGAGATGCACGAGCTGGTGCTGCTCCTCCTGTTTTGCCCCCCCAACACCTGAGCCAAGCGCACCCCTAGTGCTCAGATGCTTCCTCAGCCTGGGAGCCATGACGATGCCGTCCCGTTTGCGTTCAGCCTGCCACGGAGGGAGCTTTGGGTATCACCAGGGCTTTACCCTGGTATGATCAAGGCTTTCTCCTCCTTCCTGAACGTGCCTCCTCTTGGGCATGAAGCAGCGGGGCTGCCGCAGGGCCGGGGCTGCCCTGGCCATGGTTGTCCTCCATGCTCACCTTCTCTTGATCCCCCAGCATCCGAACGCTGGAGCTGTGTGTCTGTTCATGCAACAGCCCCCCAAGGGCCGGGCGGTGCCCGCTGCCCAATTCCTGCCGCCTGGGGCAGAGGATGCTCTGAGCCATACCTGCGGGGAGGACACAGCTTTTTTGCATCGGTAGCTTCGTTAGGGTTTTAGTGGGAAAGGAGTGGGCCCCTCACCTGGTTCAATGGAAGCAGCAGCTCCAGGGCTGGGGTTTTGCCTTCCCAGTGTCCTGGGCGCTGCCATGAAGCTGTCCTTACAGCGTATGTGCTCTCAGGGATGCTGTGCTTGCTCCTCGACCTGTCCTGGCTCCTGCTGCTGCTCAGCCCTGGTAAGTCTCTGCTTGGTTGTGCTCCAGCATCTGCAATTTGGTTGTGATCTCTGTGGGACAGGGATGTTCCCTGGGATAACAGCCAGCTTGGGGGGGCTCCTCCTCGCTGCTCCCCTGGCTCAGATACATGGACAAGCCTGGGAAGGACTGGGAGGAGGTGGCAGCACCCCGCTGGCGGGGCAGGTGATGGTCAGAGGCGATTTGGAACAGAAGGTGCCGCTCAGGAGAAAGAAAGCCCTTGCACGTGGTTTTCTATCTCCTTCCTCCTCAGCAGTTTTGAAAGGCTCTAAAAATAAACCTCCCTCACGCCTCGGGCGGCGTGAGCAAAGCCAAGGTTTCCCTGGAAAGCGTCAGTGGGAGCTGGGTGCCGAGTGCTCTTTTGGGGGACAGAGCAGTGGGGGGGGGAGGGTTGGGCCCCCCCCCTGCACTGTGGTGGGGCGAGTGCCCCATGGAACCAGCCCGATGAGTCAGGATGAACGGTGTTTTCTGCGATTTGAGTGTTTCCCCCCATTTTTTGTCCCCCAACCTCCTCCTTTACTTCCCTCTGTGCTGTTTAGACCTGTGAAACCGCCAGATCCGTGCAGTGCAAAGGGGCTCCGAGTTGATGAGTTTGGGAGGAAAACAGCTTAAATAGTCAAAAATGGCCTTGGTTTCGCTCAGGCGCTTCCACTCTACTTCTGTAATTGTTTTCTCCGGCTCTGCTGTCCAGGGGGGCTGGACCTGCCCGCTCCGGGGACGATGGGCCAGGAACTGCCGGGGCTGGGGGCTTTGGGCTGCGTGGGGTCGGGATTAAAATCGTCCTCGCCTGCAGAGCAGGAGGGTGAAGCCGGTCGGGTGTGGGCTGGGCGGATTGTCTCCTCTTTTCCCATATCCCGAGTTCACCGGCGGCAAGTTGCCGCTTTTCCATGCATGGGTTATCCCAGCTGCACAGCGGAGATAACGCCGCTCGCCCACACGGCAAAGCGCTCGCGGGGCTGGAAACAAACAGGGCCAGGTGGAAGGGTGTCCCCAAAGGGGACCTTGGTGCACCGCAATAAATGGTTGGTGGCTTGCGGGGGTGACGTGGGAGCGGCACAGGGAGGCAATAGCCTGCGTCGCCGCTCACCAGCCATGAAAACCCTCTGAATGCTGCCAAGCCACTCGGAGAGGCTGAATAAGTTTTAAAAAATTTATTTATAAATAAAAACATAAAATTACCAGTAGTTTACATCAGTCACCAGAAATAACATCCAAAAAAAACCGGCAGAAAAATAATTATCTGTACAGGCTGAGCCCGCCCAGCCACGGAGCGGGCAGGGCGGCCGCGGCTCACCCCGGGAGCGACACACCTGCGATGCGGACGGTCACACACAGCGTTGTGCGAAGGCAGCGCGTCGCCGCCTCCGGGCGATCACATCATACGGCGCTGGCTGGGGAGGGGTGCAGGGCTGGGGCAAGGGGGGGCCTGGGACGGTGCCACTGAGGCCGGCGGGAGCGGGAGCAGGGCTGGGTGGGGGGGTGGGTGGGCAGGCGTGGGTGTCGCTGGGACAGCGGGACGGGGCGGCCGGGGAGGGCTCTGCTCCCCCCTGTGAGCATTTGGCACTGGAAAGCTCCTGGTCGCTGTGCTCTGGCGCCGATGTGGGGTGCAGAGCCCTCGGTGCAGGGCTATGGCTTGGATGATGCAGAAAATCCCTTCTGGGCTCATGGAGCTGGGTGCCCATCTTCATCCCCTGCTCTTCTCTCCAAAACATCCTTCGGCAGGTCTGGGCAAAGGCTGGCGGGCCCGACGTGGCCCTGACCTACAGCCGCAGGGCTGGAACTGGGATTTCAATTTGGCTTTTCTCCAGTGAACCATGGCTAAGGATCGGCGTGCGCTGTGTGCCCGGAGCGGCCGGGGAGGCCCCGGGGCGGAC